AAAATAAATAATCCTGGTAGTTTTTCAGATTTAAGACCCATAAGCCTTTTACCTACCTTGTCAAAGATATTTGAAAAGGCGATATACATACAACTTGTTAGTTATCTGAACGATTCGAACCTTATACCGCCCACTCGGTCAGACTTTCGAAAGGGATATAGCGCAGCTTCTGTGTTATTAAGTGTGCTTGACGACATTATATCTGCAGCTGATGAAGGCCGAACTTCTGCTTTGATAATGCTGGATTATAGTAAGGCATTTGACGCGTTGGACCACATGTTGCTTGTTTGGGTATTACGGGTTCTCTGTGGCTGCTGTTAATTTCTTTCACAGCTATTTAGTTGATAGGTCCCAATTTGTTTCGATGAATGGTAATCAATCGGAGGCAAAGTTTACTACTAAGGGCGTTCCTCAGGGATCCATTCTCGGTCCGTTACTTTTTATTATATACACCATGGACATAGCAGTGGACGATAACCACTGCAAAATGCATAGATATGCCGACGATACCCAATTACATTTAAGTTTTAGAAAATCAGAAGCATACGAAGCCCAGAACAAAGTTGAACAGTGTTTAGAAAAAATATACACTTATTCCAGCAAGAACGGGTTAAAACTAATCCGACAAAGTCAGTAATCGTTTACTTCGGACCAAATAATAACTGGGCGGCCCAGAACATGAAAATAAAATGTCTGATTCGATTATCTCCGTAGAAAGGGAATCAAAATATTTAGGACTTGTATTTGACTCGCAGTTGAGGTTTAGATCTCAAGTGAGTAAAGTGGTCAGGGCATCATTCATCTACTTAAGAAACCTATACAAAAACAAAGATTTTATAAACTACAGTTTAAAAAAGCAATTATGTGAGGCTCTTATATTATCACAGACCAATTATTGTAATTTTGTTTACGGGCCTTGTCTCGATCAAAAATCTAAGAGACAGTTACAGAAGGTACAGAATTCATATATTCGCTTAATATACGGATTAAGATCGAGAGACCACGTTACATATAAACTAGATCTGTTGAATTGGCTAAATATTGAAGACAGACAAAAATTACATTTTGCATTTTTTTTACACAGAATTTTGCGGAATGGTTTTCCTGAGTATTTAATTAATAAACTTAAATTTCGACACTCTAACTATGCTATAAGGCAGTCTAATAATATGGAAATTCCCAAACATCGCACGGCGGCGCTATATCAGCGTTCGTTCTCCTACCTGCCATCCAAGATGTACAATTCCAACTTGAATCTATACTCCGTTGATTTAAAGACGTTCATTTCAAAACAAAATTAAAAACTTATATGTTGAGCGGATATAGAATTACACAATAATTTGATTTAATAATTTTTGTATCCTTTACGGAACAATTTTCATTTTTACTGTTTTGCTTTAACTTATTAAGTTGTTGATTTTCTTTATCTAAAGTATATTGTTAATTTTCATTTTTCTTACTAATTCTTTTTTCTTTGAATGTTATTTTTTAAGAATGTATTATATTATTTACTTTTTTTATATGCTCGGTTAACTTAACAGCTCTGCTGAATTTCGCCGAGTAAAAAATAAAGACGTTATTTATTTATTTATTTATTTAAAAAAAATCAACCGACAAAATATGAAACGGAATCTAACCCAATATCTAAGTATGTACAGCTGATGAAGTAAACAAAAGTCCGCCCCCAGGCTGATCTTTTAATAGAAGGCACTGCATGACCTAACCAACTGACAACCAATTTGAATAATTTATTTTAATAAATATTTTAAGTTCTTTCTGTGATATTTTTGAAGTTCTTTCTGTGTTAGATGGTAGTCACAAACTGAAAATTTAAGGTTTTATCGATATTTTGTTTCATTTAATTAAATATGTTTAAAAAGTACTTAAACAACATAGTTATTTTATAATAGTCCAAGATCCTCCTGACCTCACATATTTTCTAACAAATAAAATGTAAGGGATAATGTAGTATTAGGCTTGTTTATATTAATCAAGGGTATTAGTATGTGCATTGAGTATATGCATAACTGCTGGATTGGGCCGATGGCCAATTCACAGATACAGAATGCTAAAGGTAGGTAAAACAACTCATTTTTCTTAAAGTTTTGGTGCTGAATTTTATGTATGTTTTAGAATATATTGTTAAAAAAATAATAATCAGTGCTGCCAGCTCTGCTATTCTTGACATTGTTCACAACTTTGCACATACACACTTAAGTGTATGTATTATATGGCTTTCTCGGAGAAGTGAGTGATATCTGAAGATGTGAGTGCTTATGACTACATAACCAGGCACAAGCGGGCGAATAATGGCCTGGCACTCATGCTCATACTTTTTAAGAGTGTCTGCGGAGATGATTGGCCCCTTCCGATTGAAAATCAAGACTGATATTATAAGTAAGTTTTAAAGCGTCTGGTAAAAGCTCGATTTTTTGCGGTAAGAAGTATGTACATACGTTTTTATGGTGTGACGAGAATATTTTGAAAAGATGAAAGTGGTCGGAAACGGATTTGGCGGTTATTTTACCAACTGCTAACGTTTAAATAGGAAAGTAGTCGAGATTTAGAGGTGGTCGGTGAACAGTGAATCATGAGATTTATCTTTATATAAAACAAAAATCTCACCTGTGGCTTGGTAGTAAAATAAAATCTGAAACAATTTGTGTGAATTTTCCAAACAGTAGTGAGCACTTCTCTACCGATAAACTCTATTTCAAAATGACTATAAATCACAACAAATACTAAAACAATAGTGAGTTCAAACAACAAATTAAAAACAGGTAAATCAGTTAAAATAAATAAGTTATTTTTTTGTAAATGTTCAAACTAGGTCAAACCACGGAGCAATAAGAGAGGGGGAGAGGCGGGAGCGCTAATTCCTGCCTGACCAAGGATATATAGAATAAGGATATTCGAATGGCAATGGCCCAAAAAAAACGTGCCGTATTTTGTCGAGGAAGTCGATTTCGTCACGACCAATGGGCGTCGAGTATTTGAAATTGAAAACTTATAAATTGACGGTAACCTATGTTTTTTGACTCATTTCACTAGAGGTGGGCCAGTCTGCGATTTTTGTGGAGCTGCTACGCTCTGCGACTGCTCCAATAAAAGCACTGTGACAAGTAGCAGCGATTTTTCGGAGCAATTAACCTATAAATTAAAAATGTAGTATTATAGGTTAATTGCTCCGAAAAATCGCACTCGGTGTTCGGCACCGTTAGTTGCATTTACTAAAAAAGTACAGGACTATAGGTGTGATTATGAAAGGCAACATCATCGTCTAGTTTTTTATTATTTTAAAAAAAAAAAAAAAAAAAAACGGCGTCAGCGAATAGTATGAAAACTTAAAATAAATAAAAAACATTTTTATTTAAAATTTATGGGGAATGTTATCGTTGTCATTTTCCAAGCCAAACTGGACGCCGTTTTTTATTTCGAACAGTAGTGGCGATTTTAACGTCTGTGCAATCGGGTTAAGTCACCGACGGGCCCCAAGCCTCCCGGGCCCTTGCGAACAAGATTCGAACTTTTCCGAACTACGGGACCCTAGAGCTCTTAAAATCGCGGCTGTACGGTACTATACTGATGTCTTAGTTTGATAGATGTTGCTATATTTTTTTAGTCTATTTCAGAAGAATTTGAGTGTTTCTAAGTACCAAGCACTTTGCTATAAATATCTTAAAGAGACTGTTCATTTTCACAGAGTGGTGGCCCATTGTAAAAACTTAATGTTATATTCCATTCAAAGTCGAAACTGTCAAAAAATTCTTTATTAGTGACCGGTTACGCCAATACCAGCCATCATCAGATCTTAAAAATAGATAAAATAATTAAAACTTATATGAAGTATAAGATCAAATAAAAGATTTAGGATATACAACAAAACACAGATACAAAATTTATAACCAAATAACATACTAACAGTTAAAAAATTACCTTTGTCAAAAAAATCTGTTTGGAAATTATATACATAAATATCTTATTAGATTCATGAAAGAAAAAACGAACGTGCTACTTTTCCCGTTCCCAAACTCCCAACAGCTCCAGTACACGAATTACTCAATTACTATGCTCCAGTCGACTGCGACCTGCGACGACTGTGACTGGAACAGTCTGACCGGGCGACGGGGCTAGGAGCATTTTCAGAATTTACACTATTGCCTGCTATTGCCCCTATTGCTACTCACGAGCGCAGATGTCCTAAACATGTAAACTGCTCCGAAATGTCACTGCGATTTTCTTGGAACTGGAGCAGTCACATACTGCGACGTTGGTGGAGCTGTGACAAAGTAGCGGACAGCGATTTCACAACCCACCTACATTTTCACTGACAGATGGATTGAGTATTATTGTAATTTATAGATCTAAACGTTTTTTGAAAAATATGTATTTTAAGTTATTTCCTAGAGTTTGTTTTGGCCTTCTATATTCTGGTATTGTCTACTAATAAATATTATAAAAAAATATTTTGTATTTCGATGTATGGAAATCCGCAATTTTTGTATCTGAAGCCGCAAGGAAATTTCGCTCTTTGAGAAAATGTTATATCTTTTTAGACGCGTGAATTACAAAATTTTTATTTCAGATGTTCTAAATGTGAGTGCTTAATGTCAAATTTAAAATATTATTACTTCAATATTTCAAGTTATACCTTTTGCCCTTTGGAAGTAAACAAAAATTGAAGAAAGTGTTGTGCCTTCACAGGATTTAAATTGGCATTAGGGATAGATTTCCTTGATTTTAGTAATAATATTGCTCATAGAAATTTTAGTTTTAAAAACTAGTTAATTAAAATCAGCCAAATACTAAAATTTATATATTTTAAATTTGAATATTTATGTTAAGTATTATGTATAACACAATATAAATAATTTAGGGACATAAGAGTTAATTTCAAGTGCCAATATGATTATTATTCCAGTTTTATTCAAATTATTGAAATTAATATGGAAACAAAAGTCATTAAAATATTATTTCTTAATTAACAGATGAGATTTGGGCATAAGTTTGAAAAGCCATGTCAGAAGAGTAGGATTAAAGACAAAGTATTAAGGTAACATATATTTACATAAAGTTTTTTTTTTTTTTTTTATTTATTTGTTTATGTTTATTAATTAAAATTTAGTTGCAATTTATTTCATATTCTAATATTTTTGAGAAAATTTTACTTTTATACATACCTGAATATTATGCTGCTTTTTTTTTTAAAGTGTGCCGACTGTTGCTGTTATTTTAACTAAATTATTATTAAAAAAAAAAAAAAAATATTTCTATATATATATATTATATATCATAGTATAGATACTTACTTTCTTTCTATGCGTACTTATATCCTTTATAGTCTTTCTAAGTGCATATAATACTAATTTTTTTAAGAGAGGGCAGTTTTTAATCTATTGTTAATTCCCCTAATTCTGTGTCCCCTGGTTTTGCTTATACAACAATTAATATATTTTTTTATCATTACTGATTTAAAGTTTCTTTTCAAAGATTTTACCATATATTTTTTTTTTTCAAAGTAATTTGGGCTGTTCCTGAACAATATTGAATATAAATTATTCAAAAATTATTGATAACTGCATATCCTACTAAGTAGATCAATACCAAAATCCCATTAGAGAAATAAGTTAAAATTATGTTTTACTTGTATAATTTTCTTGCTATTTATCCACCATTATTTTGTGACTTAGAAATTAATAGTTAAAAAAGAATTTAGTACCAGTTTTTATTTCCCAAAAAAATTAAATTGTTAAATAATTACATATTGCTTAAGATACAGTATATATATTTGTGTTTATAGTGATAATTCTAGTTCTGAGTTTGTTTATAATTAGTGATAATTAATAATATTTCTGATGTTAGATATTATATTAGATAAAAAATTTAATTACCAATAGCTACCTACCTATAGCTGCAGATATATATTGTGTAGTAGTTACTGTATAATTCTTTAGTTTTTTTTTTTTTTTGTAATAGGTATATTATATGTTATGATGCTTCTGGAGGATTTCACTTTTTAAAAAATTATTTTTTAATTGTAAATTATTTTATTTATTTTAATTATTTTATTATTTATTTTTTATTAAATTTATTATTTAAATCAAAAATTAAACGGACATTATAACGTGCTTTAATTAAAATGCAATTAATTATAAGTGTTTTTCTATTACAATACATTGGCTTAAATAAAGAATTGATTTGCTGACACCATGTGATCGCGGCTACGGCGATTTCCACTGCGGATGGCGCAATATCGCTGATGCGGCGATTGGCAGGATGTGGCCATCGGTGTGCTTGACCGGCAAAGGTGTAAAGGTCGATGGAAAACCAATATAACATATACCAAAAAAGTATAGTACCAAAAAAATGTTGATGCAAATTCTTTGTATAACATACATACCCCTATGGTATTCAACTTTTCATTGTTCTTTTAATTAGATACACAATAAGCACATTAATTTGTTTATTAAACATCAAAACAACTAACTTAATACAATATATATCACAATAATGTATAAGCTTTTGATCAATTCACTATTATTAATACCTTGACGACTTCATACTTTATAACTACCAATGGCTATCCTTCTAACACACTAGCCAACTAATAATTAAATCTGTTCTAAAAAAAACAACATAAATACATCGTTATTGCAATAATATAGAAACATATTCCATGTATCATTAACTACCTATAAATACAATACCCACATCTTCTTTTACGCGAATAGTGCGTTAGGAGGCAGAAATATTGCCTGCATTGTACATCGTACAAATTGGCTAGAATATATTTCACCTTTACATTCCCATTGCAAACATTTCTCTTTCAAAGGGTCTAAATGTTTTGTCTTTTACTGTGTCCCTGTAATATGTTATCAATTAACAACAGTTATCAAATATGACCTGGACAAATTTAATTGTTCTTACCATTTTTTTTCAAACTAAACTCTTTAAACAAACTATATAAATAAAATTTATCTCATAACCTAACTTGCTGCTAGAATTTCTTCCTTGTATATTCCATGTCCTGTATTTTATTCTTCACATTATCAATTTCTATTAGCAATATCATTACTCAAATCAAGGAAATCTATCCCTAATGCCAATTTAAATTTTGTGAAGGCACAAACCTTTCTTCAATATTTGTTTACTTCCAAAAAATGTCAAATCATATAAACTTGAAATAATATTTTCAAGTATATATTTTAAATTTTTGACATGAACTCACATTTAGAACATCTGAAATAAGAAAATTTTGTATTCTACCACGTCTATAAAAGACTATAATAACATTTTTCTCATTATAGAGCGAAATTTCTTTGCGGCTTCAGATACAAAACTTGCGGATTTCCATACATCTAAATACCAAAATAAGATTATTATTATTAGTAGAAAGTCAGAATATAGAGGCCAAAACCAACTCTAGGAAATAACTTTAAAATTAAATTATTTTATTCAAAAAACAACAAAAAAAAAAAAAAAAATAAATTTCAATAACAATCTCATCACATCTGTCAGTGAAATGAATCAAAAAACATAGGTTACCCAGTGCCTTCTATTAAAAGATCAGCCTGCGGGCGAGATTTATGACGTCACGCTAGTTAGATATAACGGATTAATAAATATATTGTAGAATACATGGAAAACATAATTATTCCTCAGATTTTTGGTTTGTATTTTAAAAATGATATAGTTTAAATGAAATATACATAAAAACACAAAAAAAAAAAAAAAAAAAAAAAATATTATTTTATATAGTAATTGTGTGACTGCCATTACATATCATGCCATCCGTGTATAAACGTCTCGGACTCACATACAACCCTGCAAAGCAAATGTTTTACAATGTAAAAATAATGTATAGGTACATAAACGGCTCGATGGGTAAATGTAAATATATTTTTAAAATTTTGGGGTTTGGAAAATCGATCTATTTAACAAAAAACATTTAATATCTATAATAGTGATGTTTTTATTTGCATCACAATTTATGTTATATTTTGCAGTATCAATGTTCGAAAAATTATATTTAACAAAATAATACAATATTATTCTAAAAAAGTTTTTTTTTTAGAAATTTATATGTTTAAATTATTCTAAAAATTTTTGATTTTCCTTGGGATTTTAGGTTCGGGAAAAAACGCTGATTAAGTTTCATTTTGGTTTCATTATTTTTATTGTTTAAAAAAAAACGTTTCGGCTAAATATAGCCTTCACAGTGTTGTGTCATATGAGAAAATAGTGTCGAATATATCCAAAAAATACCATATACAATATAATTCAAACCTCATAATGTTTTCTGCAATTAATAAACTAATATAAACTTATCAAAGATGACCACATATTTCTTAAAATTATTATTCTTTAACCACTAAAATTATCTTACATTGACTATGGAGTACGCAGTAAACATTATGTGCGTTGTGTGAATATTTTATATGCATTTTTGGATTATATTCGACACTATTTTTTCTATGACAACAACACTGATGGAGGTATAATGTTAGCCGAACGTTTCTTTTTTTAAACCAAATAAAAATAATTGAAAAACCAAATGAAAAATCAATCAGCGTTTTTCCCGAACCTAAATTCCCAAAAAAATCAAAAATTTAGATATTAGAATCAAGTTTCAAGAATATCAAATTTTCCAAAGATTGTAAAATTTCTAGTTTAATATTTTATGTGTACAGTTAATTAGGGAATGTCATTGTTGTTCATTTCCAAGCCCAACTAGACGCCGATTTTTTTCGATGATACGGTATAATTCTTACGTAAAATGTTAAATAACATAAGGGGAAAGGGGAGGGGGGAAAAACCCAATTTAAAACAAAGAAATACTGGAATTTCTTAGTATTTTTTTTAGTAACAGAGACCTTTTATCTTTAAAACTAATTTTGTATTATGCAAATTATTTACCAATTTATTGTTATTTTATTCAATATTGTATTCAGCCATCACTTAAATATGTGATATTAATTTTTGGGATTATAAATAATCAATTACTATTCATTAAAATTATTCTTTGAACAAATTAATATGTTATGCTAACATACATTATATATTATCAAAACAAAAACACATTCTTCTTTTTCTTCTTTTTTAAAATTTGAACATCAAAATAAATAATCTTTTTCATGATCTCTAATACACATATTCTTATTTTCCCTAAGGTCAAAATCCTACTTACGGTGAATGCTATCGAAGCTGAACCGCACACTTTGGGAAGACCCATATGTTACAAAATTGTCCAGTTTTCATTTATACCATCATGGGAGAATTTTAAATTTATTAAAGAATTTCCAATAAATTCTTCTAAACCCACTTTTTCTTGCTTCTTTCGGACACTTTAAGCTGCTTTTATAATAACTATCCTAGTAACTATCCTTCCACCAGTCACAACATTAGCACCCAAAACACACTTCTACTTAACTTATTTGAGGAATTCTTATAAGTAAAAATACAAATCACTTACACAACGGGTGTAATTTTTAAATTTTTCTATTTTTTATTTGCGAAATCCGAGAGTGACCATATATCTGTAGTAGTAGTTTATGTCACTTCAACACCAATATAATTTTGCACTCTCCAAAATTAATACCAAAATCAAAGAGTTAAAACCAAAAATCAACCGACTAAATATGAAACGGAATCTAACCCAATATCTAAGTATGTACAGCTGATGAAGTAAACAAAGTCCGCCCTTAGTCACAAGTAAGGCACTGGGGTTACGGTCAATTTATATGTTTTTCAATTTCAAATACTCGACGCCCATTGATCGTGACGAAATCGACTTCCTCGACTAAATACGGCACGTTTTTTTGGGCCAGTCGAATATCCTTATTCTACCTTTCCCCCCCCAAAAAACCCGAGAATGAGCTTCGACGAGCGCATCCAAATTTTTGTAGACGGCAAGATGGCAGACATCTTCAGGTCTCGCTGTCACTTCCCCTCTTAATTGACATCTGTGTTTTGTTTTTTTTTTCGTTCGTGTTGTTATCGAGTTAAAATTTATTATTATCTCAATCAGAGTCCTATCACTAAAAAAGTATTTGTCCATAGTCATTCTCAGAAAGCTAATACGCCGGAAAAAATGATTAGTTTTCAGGTGTAAGTATACCTAACTGTTTATTTTTAGTTTTCCAAAAAAAAAAAAAAAATTTTGTATTTTTTGATGTGCTTCCATTTAAAAGAGGATGTTTATTACGTGTGAGGAATGGAATCAATGTTCGTGCTTCTTTAAAACAGTGCACTCTTAGTGTCCATGAAAGCACAAGTTCAAGTGTACCAAAAATATGTCAAATAAGATTGGTCCTTACTTGACAAGAAGATTATTTAGGGAAAAGAAAACATAAGATAGGGTATTTTAATCGAACAGCGGAAATTTAACATTTTAAAGGTAGTTGTAGTTTTGTGCTAATTATTTCATAACATTAGGCCCAGCAGTGTTCAGATGTCAAGAGGGAGGAGGAGTAGATTTATGCCACAGTTCAGGTATGAAAGGTTTTTTCAACATATATCGAGTTCTATCAAACAATTGTACATTTGGACTTGAAAAAAATTGGCAAGATTTATTATTTATGCCAATTTAAGAAAAATTAATCTGTTATATTATTGTTATGGCAAAAAATACTGCCACAAATCACTGAGAAAAATCATATATATTCATAATTGTTAACGAGATGATATATATTAATGAGTGTCAAAATGAGATTTAGTCATGAAGCTTACAAGGTTACTTTGTCATTATTACACTTTTTTTCTTTAAATCTATGCATCATTATCCTAGGTTTTTTATAGCAAAGGTATTTGATGCAACGAAACTTAATCGGTACCTTCAAGTATGTATTTTAGTAAGGGTTCTCCAATCGCCATGTTTTTAAATAGATAAATACAGGCCAAAGTTGACAATATTTCAGTTGAGAAAAACTATTTTATCTTTTTTTAAAAAAAAAAAGATAAACACAGGTAGTTATAGGTATACCAATTTTGTTATGGACAAATAAGAATCGAACAAGGCTTCTTTTTGCGCAAATCTTTATCTGATAAACTTACCGGTAACAGATTTTAGGATAATTTTGGGTGTTTTATTCAATAATAATGACTTGAATTTTTGGACAAAATTGATTGGTATTCAAAATACGAAATAACAACAAGATTGAGGTTTTTTATTGGTCGAAAAAACCTTATAATTAATAAAATCAATGATTTTATGTATTAGAAAATATTTGTCAAGAGGACATATTATGTAACAGTTTTTGAAACACAATTTGAAGGGAAAAATATAAAAAATACAAGGTATGTTATAAAATAATTTATGAACCCAAATGTTTTATGAAATATACAACTGAATTTATTTTTACCATTTTTCTAAACATAAAAAAAACAAAAAAAAAAAAAATACTTATTTAATATCATTTCGGGTGTTTAACGACGAAAAGGTCATCTGTCCGTAGAGTCTTTTGTCAGAATATTCGTATATTTAGTGTATTATTTACCAATATTGTACGCAGTTTTTTTTTTTACACGACACTAAAACTCACGATACCCAAGACAAGGAAAGAGGGTCTCTCTTTCCTTCTCTAAGGACAAAATACTGGGAAGCTGAACCCGCTGAACCGCGCAACCGCGGTCTACGTCAAACTCAGCTGAACTTTGTAAACAACGGCACTTTTATAAAATTTATAGAGTAAATTATATGGCCCTATTTTAAAACAAAGTTTAAAAACTCATCAGCATTTCTGATAAACAAAAGTACAATAAATATTATGTGTTTTGTCAAAAATGACATATATAATAATAAAAAACATAATAATAAGAAACTACCGCAATGGTAGTTTTGAAGTGTTTATATTGACAACATTTGAAGGGTACACACGCATGAATAAAAATTGGAATGGAACACATAACTTTGCCTATGACTTTGCTACAAAGGAAAGTTATAAACTGTGGTCCGAAAAGCAGAAGATCAAGATAAATTATTCATTCGCCAAGTCAAGAAAATAAAGTGAAAAAAAAAGCTTACAATTATTATTGTAATCATAGTAAATCAGCCAGGCAGGTAAAATTCTAATAGGTCTCTTTATTTTAGGACCAGCCAGCAATTTTCTAATGAAACAGAGAAGGCCAAGGTAGTTCAAATAAAAAATAAACATATAAGTGTTGCCCATAAAAGAAAGGAAACAATTTTATTATTATTTATTATTAATATTTAATCGATTAAGCGTTTAACGCCTTGGGTAAGGTTTATTAATTTTTATTTTTGCTAGCACACGCTTCAACCGCCTATATTACCTCAGGATTGTAAGTACTCATTTAAGGCTGAGTCGACCTCAGGTACCCAAACTATCGGCTGATAAAATGCCGGGTGTGGGAATCCTATCCCAAACTTGAGATTTTACCTACCCACCGGCACCCCTTTTTTTAATATGTATGACTGTGGGTTAAGTTTTTGTAACTTACTACCTCTGTTATTGTAAAAAGATAGTATTTTACATGGCATAAGTCGAAACGCTTCAATCTCACCATAAATCTTGCTGTTCTCTTAAGCCTAACTCTAATATCATTCTAATAAATTAGACTATAAATTTGTTTTTTATTTCTCTTTATAAGTTATTAAGCCAACAAATTTTCCCAAACGTTTATTTAACCACGAAAATGTGATTTCATTCTTCTCTCTTTTTTT